GACCGTTATTGTTTTAATTCTTACTTCTTGTAGCACAAATGCGTTGTTATAATGCATAAACTGACCACATCCAAACTATTTTCCCTTCAGACTACTTTAAGTCCACTTTCTTCTTCATTATAAGTTTTTTCTCATGCCACATTTGGTCTTGTAGACATGACTCGTGTTTCGATAAATGCTTTTCGATGGCCAGAACGCAAGGGCATGGAAATTCATGACACCAAGAACGAAAAAGAAGTAATTGAATAATATTTCTTATGCATACAATAAATGAGCAATTGTGTGTCGTAAATGTAATGGAGAGGAATTGACAATTATTATTATTATTGCTGTACGACGATCATTATGTGGTTAAATTGCCGAATATTCAGAATGATAAATGGTTTTGAAGGATGGGAAACGATAAGAAATATGAAAAATTATCATCGTCATCAACAGCAAATCTATCAAGTACTAGAAGTAATTATGCAACATTAAAACACGAGCTTTTGAGAGAGTGAGGTGGAGATGTAGATTGAAAATGAAGAAAAAAGTAATAATATTGCTAAAGTTTCCGATTGTGTATTTTTAGGTAAACGTTATCTTTCAAAAAAAATACACGTCGCTCAAGGTCATTGCCTTAAATTCTTCTTTTTCGCGATGCGAACGTGAATGTTTTCATTTTTTTCTCGCTCGATGATTTTGAAAGGTTAATTTTTGTATTTTATGTTAACGGGTGCAGTACCTAAAATTAACTAGTTCGCACTTAATTAGATTTTGATAACTTAATAACTGTTGTTGGTTTGAGTTGTAGTTTTAATCAGTGGATGTGGATGTGAATGAGAGAATTGGAAGCTTTTGTGTTATGTTTAGATTGAAAAAAATTAACGATCAAAATATTTTTGAATTTTTATCGGATATTTGAAATTTGAAATCTTCCCGGCCTTAGAAAATTTGAAATTTTTAACGGCATATGAGAATTTGAACTGTTCACGCCTTTTGAAAATTGGAATTTAAAATGTCAAATAATATTCAAAAGTTTAACAGATTTTGTAATTTTGAATGTTAACTGCCAAAAGATATTCAAATTTTAACGGATTTTGTAACTATAAGTTTTAACTTTCAAGAATATTTTAAATAAGTTTAAACCTGTTAAAACAATTACAAATAAATCTAAACAATAATAAATCATCAATTAATACATTTTTCCAGTCTAGCCAGCTCCTCCAACCCACTCCTAATAATTTACAGTTCAATATTCTCGAGTAAAAACTTATAAAAGAACAATAAGGTTGTCTTTACTGACTAATAATAATTATAATACAAAATCATTCACTAAATGACGCTTGTTTACATTCTCAAAATAGCGAATTTTCCTTCCCATTAGAGAACGAAGAAGAAAACGAAAAACTTTTCTTTATTATGATTTTTTATATTTATTTGCTCTATGTGTTATATAAAGAGGTCAGTTACCTTCTATACAATTTTTTACGACTTTTTTTCACTAATACAATCAAACGATGCGCAATCAAAGTGTAGCAAGCTTGAAGAAGCTTTTTATTATTTTACATTTTCATCATTTTTTTTGAGAAAGATGATTAATGTATAGATGTGCCTAGCACATAGAACTTATTCACTACAGACATGAAACGATACGATTCAATTCATTCGATAGCCTTGAGATTATATAAAGCTACCCCGCCTCTTGATTTATATAATCATTCCATAAAAATTCTTCTGAAAATTAAGCAAAGAATGTGGAGATACACAGGCAGAGGAACTGATGTTTATAAGCGAGAAATAACGATTATTGTATTTGAGACATATGAAGCTACAGAATGTTAACAAAAAAAAAAACGTGTAAATGAAGAAGTTTAAACATGCTGTACATTGAACTCGGAATTAGCGTGTGCTTTTTATGTGATATCAATGTACTCACAAATGCTGATGTGAAACTATGGTTTCTAAAAGAAATTTTTTATTTTGTTTTGTTTCTACTGCTGTAAAACCGCAATCATTGCAAGTGTGCATAAAGAAAACGCGCGCGTAAAATGAGGTTGTGAATGAAATTAGAAAATTATTACGTTAAAATTTCTAAATCCTACATTTTCGCAATTTTCTATTTTTGAAATTAAATTTTTTTAAGTTTATTTTGTTGATGATTTCACTTTCTTGCTCACTCTTCTTCCATATCGAGTCGATAAACAAAAATAAACTAAAAGGTCGTTAAAAATAATAATAATAAAAAAATTGGTGGCAGTCAGTTGTATAGATATAGAAAATCGGTTATGGCTGTGTGCATATTGAAAAGAAAGTGTATTCATTCAATGTCAATAACACCGAATGACATTGAAAATGTTCGCTTGTCGATGGTCTGCATTTTGGATGGTGAAGACATTTTTTTTCTCGTCGTCGTTTGCGATGCATTTTGTTGACTTTTGAGATTTTGAGGCTTTCATCAACAATTCAGCAAATCAAATAATTCTTTTAACGGCTTTTTAAAATTCAAAAATTTAATAGTCAAATTAAGTTAAAAAAATTTCAAATTTTTCGACAAAAAAATTCCTTATTAATTTTTGACAAACAAAAACATTCAATCTTATTGACAGATAACAACAAGGCAGCCTTCCCCAACACAAAAACAAGTGTCTTACTCCATTAAAACTCAAGAACCTCGTATGATTTATTCAAATTTATCATTTCATCATCTTAATTTAATTCTATTTTTGTCCAGACTACATCACTTATTCATTGAAATTTGACTTTTGTTCTCTCGGTATATCCGAAGAGTCACCTACATACATTTTTGATAAGCTATTTAGTTTGTGCTTTTTGTGAATACTCTGATAAAAATCATGCTTACCTCAGCAAAAGTAAAGTTAACCTTAACATGATATTATGAATTGTTTGTGATTTTATTTTATTGCTTTATGACTTGCTCTTTATGAAATTTAATTATCTGGACATTCCATAATTGATTTTTATATTTGAAAACTTATTTTATCTATTTTTAGAAGTTGCTAGAATTTGGAGACTTAAAACTAATCTAATCTCCTTCTGTTAATTGTGATATGAAATAATCGAAGCTAGTTGTTAATTTAAAATCAATTAATTCGATAAAGAATTCGTAATTTAATAATTCAATGAAATTCTTAAGACAGCACGGTTTCATCGTTGAGAATTTTATGACGCAAATTATTTGTTTTGATTTTTTGAGTGATCTCGGAGAGTTTATTACCCTTGGCTGAACGAAAATAGTCCATAAAATTCTTTCGAAGAGCTCATAACCATGTCAAAAAGACGAATGTGATCGTTAAATACAAAGCTTTAGGAAGTATCATTTTGAATAATTGATAACGATGTCAGGTCAGCAAAAAATTTCTATTTTTATTCTTCAGAAAGTTTTGTGGACTTTTTAATCAGTTTCAGATCTTTTTTTTAAATTGTTATTTTGGAGCTTAGAATGTCAAAATCGTTACAGAATTTTTGAAGGAATTTTTCCACCATTTTTTCATTCAATTCAAAGTTGATTTTTCAAATTTTAGAGATAATTGACACGATTTTAGATTGTAAACTTTTAGTTTTGATAGATAAAATTGGCAAGCAAGGACCAGTTGCTTCAAAATGCGTCTTTTTAAAGCTTTATATGACAATTTTTGATAAAAGTGTTTAAAAAAAATTCAATTGGTTTACTTTTTTGTAATAAAGTGGAAATAGGAACTAAAATGGAATTAAATAGAGCTTAATTAACCCTAATTGCATCAATTTGTATCATAATCTGCATCAAATGACATCAAAATCAATTAATTTGATATTTTAACAACAAAAAATGATTTTTTTGTACACAAACATTTAATAAAGTGCGGGAAAAATTCAAAAAATTATTAGTCAATCCTGATTACTTCTCATTGGAAATGAATTATTAACGAAAATTTTCCGCTAGCATTTATTAAACCAACCGTTTAAAATCGATATTAATAAAACACGAATCAATTTTCCACTGGATCAATTCGAAACTATTTCAAGTTCATTGTTCAGTCATCCATCCATCCACTCATTCCACTTTTGCTGCTGTCATTTTTAAATTTTTTTTTATAAATCTTCTCCATTAATTTGCAATTTTCGTTCCAATTTCATTATTAAAAAAAATGAATTGAATATTTCTGCGCTCTCTTAATGCTTTGGGGGACACTGCGGTCAACGTTTCATTTATATTATTTTAATATACCAATGAGCATATAGCAAAAATGGAAATCATTATACACACAGTCAGAAAGAAATGGAAAATAATTTATTATCGCTTATCGATGCAGCGCAAAATAAGGTTATTTTTTCATCAAAACAGGCAGAGCAAAAAAAAATCAATTAACGTCATCGGTCTTCTGATCGAACGTGTTAATTGTTGGGCGAAAGTGATAACTTTTACAGCAAGTTCTGTATTTACAACTTGTTTGAGCGTGTCATGAATGAGTCAGTATGTTTTTATTATTATTTGCACCGAAAATTGCTGATAAGAAGAAAATAAAGAAAAAATTGAAATATTGGCTCTTTGCTAGAGCTTTGTTTATTGCTGTGTCCCGAGAAGCACAACTTTGTAGATTTTTGGATAGTATATTGTAAAAAATTTAAAGATATGTTCTAGAAACTGTGACTATAGCACTCAGAATGGCTCTAGAAACCGACTCCAGGTTGTTTAATGCACAGCTCGGGTATGTGTTTGCTGACATCCCCATAAAAACTGCTATTGTCGCTTTCCGGATATGAAATTATGATGACAACATGAAAGATATATAAACCATTTTGCATGTCTTTGTTCTTGACTATGAAAAAGTTTTTTTGATTAAAAAAAAATTCTTGTTGTGGAAAATTTTTTCGAGTTAAACGAATATTCTCGTGTATTCAGAGCAGTTATTGACATGAAATTAATTTTGATGAACTGAGAAAAAATAAAATAAAATGAAAACAGTCGGTATTTTTGTATGTACGCCAATTTCTCATCGTCTCTTTTTTTCTCTTTTCAGCACCTAACAATTTCAAAGGCCTGCTGTTACGCTCGCATGTATTGTATCGATTGAAACACTATCAAAGTTCATTGGCCGATGTCGAAAATGCCCTCAAAAGTCGTCCAACATCCTACAAGGTAAACTTCTTATGAATAAATTAAATAATTTATGATTCATAAAAATAACTAATTGCTGCTAAATCTCACAAACCGAAGAATATGAAAAAGAAGTTCTTGTAATTAATTAATATAAGTCAAATAAATTTCATATGCTTCACGCCAACGTTCCCTTTTCATAATAATTACGATGATGGATACAATTTATTTTGTTTAAACGTTCTCTAATTGCAAGTAGTTTTCTAAACTTGCCCAGATGACAGAATTTTATTAAAATCAATTTTCCTAGATGACAGAATTTTATTAGAATCAATTTTCCTAAATGACAGAATTGCGTGAAGTTGTCTTTCTGAGATGACAAAATTTATTTAAGCTAGTTCAGAGATGATAAAATTGAATGAGAGTAACCATGTGAGTTGACATAATTTTATTGAATTTCATGTCTAGATGACAGATCTATACCTTTACCGGGATAAAGGAATTTATCGAGATGACATAGATTTATAAAATCATTCTTGCAACTTAGTAAATTTAACTAAGTGATAATCATCCTAACCACGATGCATGTTCATCACCTTCCCGAGATGACACAATTCCCTAAGCAACCTTACATAACCTCCTGATAATTTCATCAATCCTCAATCCATTCACTGGATGATCTCATCAAGAACATTTTTTTCCATAGAATTCACACCTTCCATTCAATTTATTCTACTTCCTTTTCATTCCGTGCGGTTTCCAACCCACCCAACAAACTGCCAACAAAACAACGGAAATTGAAAGCATTTCAAGATAGTTTGCCGAGTAATTCTTCATCGAGAGAATTTTAATGAGGAAATTTTTTTCTACTTCTTTTTCTCTGCGGTTTTCGCATTTCAATCTTCGTATTTATGAATGATGCAATTTATCGTTTAATTAAGACACCAAGCGATAAAGAGAAGTAAAACATTTTCATATTTTTTATGCATAAATTTTCTTTTGGGGGCTATTTGGTAGTTGTGTTGCAAAATTTTGAGGGGGTTCGGGGTCTAATACTGAATTTTTGAAAAATTTGTGACTAATAGTGCGGGAAAAACCCTAAGAAAGTTGAAAACTCTTCCAAGAAGTTGAAAGCCCCTCAAGAAATTGAAACCCCTTTAGGAAGTTGAAGGCCGACTTAGAAAAGTTGAAAATTACAAGAGATGAAGGCCCCTTTGATAAGTTGAAAATCTCAAGAAGTTAAAAGTCCCCTTTGAGAAGTTAAAAATCATCTCAAGAATTTGAATCCCCTCTCAAAATAGACGTAATTCTCAAACACTCCCCAATTTTTACATCCTTTCATCTTTTTTATTCCCTCAAATCTGTCTCTCATGCGCCTTAATTCTTTAACTACACGCTCGCACATATGTTATGTATAGCTGAAATGTTGATTACGTTAATTGTTTTGATGGCACTTTGTTGCCACACATGTAATTTATGTTTCTCGTGCATTTCTGAGATGGGCACACGAACGAAAGGAGAAAAAAAAAGCTATGATGATGACAGAGAACTTTTCTTCTGTAAACATACGGAAATGCAGGATTAAAAAAGTTTTTTAATTTAGCAAAAAGCAAATCTGATACATATGCATTTATTATTTATGACTGTTGTGCTTTACAAGCGGCTATGGGAGTTGAAAAGAAAACTGTCATAACGGTTCGCAAGGAAGAAAGTCAAATAAAAAAGCGATTATAAAGCTACAACTGTGGAAAATTGCTTCTTGTAATTCCTTCATATATTTATTTTTTTTTTTGCTCGTGTTGCCAATGAAAAATGTCTGAAAGCACTTCATTCCTGTACAGCTTTACAGTTTTCACTTCAGAATGACACTGAACTTTTTATTATTATTTATTTATTTATTTGAATGACATGAATTCATTTAATGAGGCACAATAGATTATAAAAGAAAGGGAAATTTAGGCTTAATTACCATAATAAATTGATAAGGAATAGAATTGTGGCATATGATTAATGAGGAATGATTAAATTTTATAATTAAGGCAGGGATGGAAAGTTCCGAGTGACACACTGACTTTTTTTTAGAGATAATAAGGATGCTTAGTTCATTGATTTCATGATTATATGCTGAGTAGGCTTTAAATTTTGTCAAGGTACTCTATTGTAGAATGTGTCATTGATGTTATTGTTTTTAAATCTAAAACTGCTTATTAAGAAGCATGACTAGGAGTCATACTTGAACTAAGATTATAAGTTGCTTGGAACAAAGAATTAACTTTATGACATAAAATTGTGTAATTAAAAGATCAATCAGAACAAAAAACCGATGGTCAGGATCCAATAATCAAGAACCAAGAAACTAAAACCATTAATCAAGATCCATTTTGAACCAATGAGATCTAAAGTTATCCTCCTCGGATTCACTTACATCAAACGCCTTTAAATCCTTAAAAAGCTATCAATTTAGATGCTTAATGTCAAAAGTTACAGCACAACAAACAATCCAAACCCAAAAAGTTTTCCACCTTAATGAAAACCTCCATTATAATTTTCGTAGACTTTACAGCCATGATATAAATTTATAATATTTAATTAATCAAGGATATCAAATTACCATAGTAATAGCAAAGAAAGTCTATTATCAACAAAATTAATGACCATAATTATAGTCCCACCTATTGTAGGAAAATTTCCATGTCACAATTTTTTTTTTCATTTTTCTTCATTTTCACTTTTTTTTAAATCGTGAAACACGTGTAGAATGTTTTGTATCCATGGCAGTAATAATAATTCTTTTCAAAGTCGTTCCTTTTTCTATTAATCCAGCTCCATAATGGAAAATAATAATCCGGACATAATTGAGGAATTAAACATCCTCAAGAACTTTTTTTTTTATCTTATTTGAAGAGCTCACTCAAGCGATGTGACACAATAACCTTCTCGAGTGCTTCAATTTTTAATACCACCGCCACTGAAATCGCAAAAAAAATGTATTTTACTCTTGAGGAATTGGAAATAAAGAATAAAAGAATCTGCTCCCTCTCATCTCTCGTAGCTAAATCGATGCTCGAATAAATAAATTATTTTTTTTTTCACATCTTTTTCAAATCAATCAATTGAATAATAAATAAGAGAGAGAAAAAAAATGGAAAATAAAATCTTATTCTGTAGTCTAAAGTGCAGTTGTTCTGTTGTGCTGATCGTGACATAAAATTCAAAATCAAACAAATTTTTATGGGGTTTTGTATTTTTGTGTGTGTGTAAGGTATTGGGGGACATACCTAAATGATGTTAAGGAAAATCTAGAATCTATAAATTAGAATTAATTAAAGAAGACAGTTTAAACTAGTTTAAGGACTATTTTAGGTTATAAACTCCTTATGATCTGATAGAATCTAACCTTAGACTCCTAACCCTAGTTTACATACTAAAGTGAGCAAAAAACTAGTTTAACCCTAGTTCAAATTATTCTATTAGTGTTTATATTAAGATATGGTCATATATGGCGTTCACTTATGACGTCCAGGGTGGGGGGGAAGCAAGACAAGAACAATAGAAATTCTTGGAATTCCATTGTTCTTTTTTGAAAAATGACTGTTAATTTCGGACTTCATAAGTGAACGACCCTTTAGGATAAACCCGTACCATACCCAGCAAATGAGACCATAAAGTCCTGAACTAGCTCCAACCATTATGAGTGAATATGCCCATAAGAAATACAATAAAATGAAAAATTTATCATCAAAATGAGAGGAAAAATAGCAACAGAATATAAACTCACAAAACTTTGATGTGATTTTTTTTCCTCACGATTATTTCTTGCAATACTTTATGAGGATAGAAGACGAAGAAGCGGAAGCGTGGAAACATCTTTATAGCTCTTTTGTATCATAAATAAAAGCAGCTTACTCTTATTCTTTGGCTTGTCAATTATTTCGTATTTTTTATTCGTGTTGTCTGATGATCTACATGAAGTTAATGACCTTACCGTCTTGACGTTTAGACACTTGTTTATTAATATTTTAGTGAGCTCAGCTAGAGACTACAAAAAGATTCTAAATTAAGGTAGAAAAAAGGGTTGAATTTTATATTTTAAGCCTTTTTCGTCATGTGATGAAAGTTCTCACGTGTCCATTAGTTCTGCTCGAGCCATTTACACGTTCAATAGCCTACCTAATGTTCCTCATAAAATTTATAAATAATGATTTTCAGTAAAAATGATAATTTAGTGCTGAAAAAGAATAAATTTGAATTTTTATTACGTCAAATTTCATTGATTTTCATATTTTCTATTTCAATTGTTTCATTAGTGGCTCGGAAAATGGAAAATTAATAACAAAATATCAAAAAACACGATAAAATATTTTGAATATTTAAATCAACACATTAATCGATTTTATGATTTTAATGATATTAAAATAAAATCGATATTTATCGGCCAATAACCTCACGATGTTTATAAATTGTTACAAGGTAGTCATCTGATTGCTAACGTAAATAACACCCCACATGAAGATGTTTATTGAATATGTTAATATTTACAATTGCAATTATTGACTGATATGAAAGAACTTAGCACCAAATGGTCTGTGTCGGAATGCAAATAAAAGATGTTTTTTGTTTATCTTTTAAAGATTCGCTTGTTAACGATTAAATTATATTTGAATTTGATATGTGTTTTACGTAGTTGCAGGACCCGTTTGTTTACATTTCATTTCGAATATTCAAGTGTTTACTTTAATTTAATTATTAGACATAAATCATGGCTGTTTACTTAAAGCAGATAGAATATAACAAGGTAGACCAAACAAAAAGGCTTCTTATCCTTTTGAAATACACAAAACAAAATTTATTCACGCCATTTATTCGCTTTTTCTATTCCATTCGAAAAGTTGTGCAAATTCAATTCAAGCTTCTCTTCCTTTTTACGAGTATAAAAGCGTCATGAATATTTTTTTTCGTACATATTTGACAAGTGAGACAGTGGTGTGTGAATATTTAATGATGAAAAGGATTTCGTCTCTCTCTTATTTTATTCACAGATG